ATAGCAAACAAGACTTACAATGGTAAGCAACGACATCTCAGTCTTGGACATCAGTCTCTTCGAGGATTACTTAAGCAATGAGTAATCATCGTTGAATATGTAGAATCGAAGAATAACCTAGCAGATCCTTTGACAAAAGGATTGGCTAGAGAGATGATTGCGAAAACATCGAAAGGAATGGGATTGAGGTCTACGTAACTTCAGTTAGCTTTAATGGGAACCCTACTTATGTTTTGAAATATAAACAAAGTTCAAAGGGTACAAACAAGTTAAAGTCTAACTTAGACGAGACGCTAGAGTATTAGTTCAAACTCATTCATAAAATCTCTAGTGTATGTATTCTGCAAGGTTGAGGATGGATTTAACTCCTTAATAAGTTCTATTGAGAGAGAAAGTAACTCGCAAAATTACTTTATAAAGAACTTACCTATGTGAGTGAGAAAGTCAGGCCGTTTTCTATGAGATTTAGACCGTCTCCAAAGCACTCATGAAATTTGGGATATACGCAAGGCCATTAATGCGTTGGTATAAAAGAGACACTCCTTTTTATCGGAATAGTATGTGTAATGACTCCGACTAGTCATGATAGGGTCCTTGGTTCAAGATTCGTTCACCATAGCACCTTGACAAAACTTTGAGTTGTTTACATTAAGTGAAAGTTCAAAGTCAAAAGCTACTTTCATTTATGTACGATTTCTACGATGATGCCTTTTATCGCAGAATTACTTTATAAAGAACTTACCTATGTGAGTGAGAAAGTCAGGCCGTTTTCTATGAGATTTAGACCGTCTCTAAAGCACTCATGAAATTCGGGATATACGCAAGGCCATTAATGCGTTGGTATAAAAGAGACACTCCTTTTTATCGGAATAGTATGTGTAATGACTCCGGCTAGTCATGATAGGGTCATTGGTTCAAGATCTGTTCACCATAGCACCTTGACAAAACTTTGAGTTGTTTACACTAAGTGAAAGTTCAAAGTCAAAAGCTACTTTCATTTATGTACGATTTCCTACGATGGTGCATTTTGTGTGTGTTTGCATGAATTACGGTGGCTTGAGAAGGGTACGTACGCAATCAATTTTTGTGATGCAGCCGCTTCATCTTTTCTTAATCAAAATTTTGAAAAATAGGGAGGATATGTTAGATATTTTTCATCATTTTGCATTGTATTTATTTATTTTTATTTTTATTGCGAATGATTTGTCACACCGACTAATGTTTGCAGCTGTTACTAGAGAATTTTATTTTCAAAAGTCTTTGAATAGGTGCATCTTTTTGTTTGACAGTTACTTCCAACAGATGTGTTCTTCATTTCAAGTGACACACATATTCAAACGGTTGCCTCAATTTCTATAAATTCTGGGCGAATTCTCGTTTGTAAAACACATTAAAAAATAAATACATGCAAAATGATGAAAAATATCTAACAGATGTTTGTCCATGGTTGAGATTGTCTAGGTATGGATTAACCATTTGTAGTGGTGTGCCATTATGGGCATCATTGTGGAGGCCGAATTTTGCACAAGTTCTGTTAGATTCTTAGTTGCTAATTTTGGTCGAAATTAGATTTTGGTTGATGTTTGTTCATGGTTGAGGTCGTCTAGGTATGGATTTACCACTTGCAGTGGTGCACGATCATGGGCTTCTGCTTGGAGGTTGGAGTTTCCATTTTGTTCTTGGTTGTTGATTTTGGCCGAACTCTATTGCAGCTTGGATCAATTGTCACTTTAATGTTTTGCTTGGTTATTATGTTATATTGGTCGTCGGTTATTTGCTTTAGTCATTGGTGGTTTGCTTGTTTGCAGTTCTGTAAATGATGGTTGTGGTAGTGCAATAGTGGTGGTTATGGTGGAGTTTTGGTTGTTGGTGGTGGTTTTCTTATTTAATGAGCTGTACTGGTGTTGACAGTGACGATGGTGGTGGTGATGGTGCTGGATTTGAGTTGAATTAGGGTTGTATAAAGAGGGTTTGTGACCAAGGTTAGAGGTTCATTGTGCATAAGTCATGGATAAATTTCCACAGGCCGCAGATCTAAGAAGGTTGGATTGGATTGGATCGGACCGTGGTTGTATAAAGAGGTTTGTGACCAATTATTGAGGTCATTAGCGTCGATGGTGGTGATAGATCACGTGTCACATGTCATTGTCCATAGGTTACGTATCAAAATTAACTGGTCATAGATCCCATGTCACTTGTAAATAAAAGGTCACAGATTCAAGTTCACGGATCACAGTTTATATATTATAGGTCATAGATTATAGTTCAAAGGTCACAAGTCATATTACATAGGCTCTCAAGAAGCAACTTGCTACTAAGGTTCTCCATTGTTATCAAAAAAAAATTCCTGCTTATGAATTCATCCATGTAATATGTTTTTGTTAGGTTTTCGACTTTCACTGGTGCAATGCAGTGCCTATGGTTTCATTGCTGGTAGTACATATAGTCCTGGTAAGGTGGTGTACATTTGGTTCCAGTGTTGGGAACGGTGGTGAGTGACCAAATATATCTTCATTGTGACTGCTCGACGCTTGTGACTAGATTTGTGTTAACTGTGACACTTGTGACTTGGTTACATATAGTTACAAATTAGATTACCATGGTCATAAACAATCACACCGAAGATAAATTTGGTCATAAGCACATAAAATCACAGCTTATACGTTACGGGTCACAAATTGCGGTTAAGGTCACATTTCACTAGTCACAAGTTTGAGTTCACAAGTTACAACCATTTCATATAAGTCACAAATAAGTATAAACGAGACACGGATCAATATTAACAGGTGACATGTCATTTTGTAGAAGTCACGGATCAAATTTATAGGTTACATTTTATGTTACGAGCCACGGGTAACAAATCACAGGTTAAAAATCATATTTTATATGTCACAATGTACACAGATCACAGGTTATTGCCTAGAAGAAGAAAAAGGATTTGTGAATTTAATATATTTAATTACAAAAATATTTTTTTGATTAATTATTTCACAATAAAATTTAATAGTATTTGATTTTTGAAATTTCAAACTTTATTTCTTAATTTTGAAATTGGTCATATGCATATTTGTCCCACTTGATTAGGTCACAGATTCAATAGAACTGATCAATATGTGCATAGGTAAGAGATCTAATGCAACTGGTCACAGATAATTGCTAAAAAAGAAGAGAGAAAGAAAAAAGTTAGTCGGCGGAAAGGTGAGTGGTCTCCAAAATAGTCGTCGGGACGGTCGGAGAGGTTGCTAGAATATTCGTCAAAACGAGATAAGTCGTTGAAGCCGTCGCCGAGAAGCCACCGAAATTGTCCCTGGAGCCGTCGCAGGAGGTGAGGTGGGATGAAGAGAGAGAGAGAGAGAGACAAGGGTTTGATATGATGGGTGGATGGGTTGGAGGTGAGGGAGGATAAGTAGATTAATTATACTATATTATAATTAAATATTTAATAAATTTAATTATCACCTTATTTTGGAACTATTTTTAGAAGTTTGTTAGTTTTGAAATGTAATCTTCTAAATGAAGGATTTATGTGATTTTCCCTTAAATTCATTCCCAATCCAAGCCCAATGTTCAATTATTTAAATTTAAATAGTTCATTTATAATCAAATTAGTTTATTACATTAGAAATAATTTTTATTAATTAAAGTAAAGATAAATAACTTATTGTAACATGTCATATGTTTGACTTAGCTTAAAAGTAATTAATTTTTTCTAACGTATTTTTCATATATTGATTATTTATACTTATGAGTTAAAAATTTATTTATTTCAATCACAAAATGGATGCTATTATCAAAATAAGTAATATGCTTTACATTTACTTTTATCAGTTAAAAATATATTTGTTAGAATTTTGTCATAAATGTTTAAAAATATATTTTGACCCATTTTGTCATTAGCATCAACAATGTAACTTTTTAAACTAAATCTAGAGTAGCAAAGAGCATTTATGAAAAAAAATTCAATTTTCAACCCACCCTAACATATCTTTCTGGCTCCGCCCCACCACGTCACAGAAAGACGAGGAAAATAAACTAATTTCACCTAATCATTTGTTGATTTAAAAATCACTCCCTTTTGCGCTTTAATTATCCCAGCTATCCGACTTGAGTGTGACAATAATGTCGTTCCCACATGTTTGTTAAGATGAACTAACGTTAAAATATTTAGAAAAAAAATTGATTATGATTCTGAACATGTTCTAATCAAAAGTTGTTCAAAAACAATGGTAAAACTAGCAAAAAGATTTATGTTCACAAAAAATTTACGGCTGCAAAAAATAAAATAAAAATAATAATAAATAAATAAATGAAAATAACTTTTTAGCCATGTTTATAATTTATCATTAATATGTGTGTGTGTGTGTGTGTGTAGAGTTTTCAATCACCATCGAGTATATCTAGCTCCAATTTAATAGCAATTTTCTACCCCAAAATATTGATTTTTTAACCTTTATTTCTCTATTACAACCATTATCTTTTACTTCTTCACTCATTAGTAGGACCCACTTCTCTAACGTCAAAAAATCAATCTTTATAATCACTTTCTAACAAGGCCTTATTTGACAAATAGTTGAACCCTAACCAGAGAGAACTTTTTAAAACAAGAAAACGAAATTCTTGATAATTTTATTTTTCATTTATTAGTGGGAAATAAAAGGTGTACGAAAATAAATACGTTGATATGATAGTTTGCATAGTCAGAATAAAAGCAATATTTTAAAGCAAAAAGAATGCAAGACATGATGGCGCAGGAAGAGAGATTTCAAAATACAAAAAAATTGAATTTTCTTTAATCAATGAAGAGTGAAGAGACGTCCATTCATAAATTTCTATTGCAACTCTTCTACCAGACAAAACCCATAAATGTAAGTTTAAATTTTGAAAAAATAATAATAAAAAACAAAAAATAAAAAAATGAAGAAGAAGAAGAAGAAGAAAGAAAGAATCATTAAAATTAAGTTAAGACCTCAGAAAACCATGCGTATCAGAACAAACCTCTCTAATATACAGAACTTGGGCTGATAAAAAATGAAAAACTGACAAGTTTAAATTGCATTTTCCTTCATTCAAGTAAAGCACCACACATGCTACCTAATTTTGCACACAATGTTTTACTACTGATAAACTACAACTTATCGATCAAGATCCCAATCCTGCAAACAAAATAAGGTCAAAAACACAAGTTTTCTGATCAAACTTTCATCTTTCGTTTCTATGTGATCATCGATAACTAAAAAACACAGTAATCTCCGTCAATATACTTAATGACTTTAGTAATGCACCTTTAAGATTCATTCTACAGTAAATGAAGACCATTACTTCTCTTACCTGACAAAGCAGCAACTTGCATTTTTGACACCAAAAAATGTGAAATAGAGAATCCAGCATTCAGTTCACAAAGGTGGATCATCCTTGGATGAGTTACTCATTTGTTCTTCCTCTTGGGTAACCGGATCAAGTCGCATCCTCTTTGCAGCACGTTGCATGTCAGATTCCAATACTGACTCACTGCCAATGCCAACATCATTGAGCATAATATCATCATCATCATGGGAAGATTGTGGTGAATTCTTCAAAGAATGTGCGAGGGGGTCCACGTGATCATTTGGGTCGAGCATCTGAGTTGGGCTTTCAGAGTCCGAAACATCCAACAAAATCTCACCAGAAGCAGAGGCTGGGCAATCAGCAAAGCACTCACGACCCATACCATCACTCAGAAACTCATTTCCTTGATGATAAAATTCCTGTAGATTATTTGAGAGAGAGGTGATTGAATGCACATTATCATTGTGCTCACTTGTCTGATCATGGCAACGAGATTCTGCAACATTTATCATTTTGCCAGAAGCTGAGCCAAAGAACTCAGATAAGTGCTCTACATTTTTGGGCGATACACATCTTGGCTCCTGTATTTTATTGTCTAATTCATCATCCTTCACTTCCAATAAATTATCAGAATCACAAACCGAATCTGCCGGAGATGAATCAGAATCCTCTAACGCAGCTTGGGGAACAGATTCTACTCTAAAATCTCCACACGAGTAAGGAAAGAGAGATGCTTCTGCTGTGATATCTAGATGTTGGTGATAGGCAATTTCTGTTTGTGTTGTATAGACAAAGTTCCCATTAGCTTCCACGTCTTCCTGTCAAAAACCATACGACAATGAGAAAAGTTTAGCTAGTTAAAAATACATAAAAAATTAAATAAATAAGAACAACATTATTCTTAGTTTTGGCATTTATCAAGCAAAATCAACATAAGGAAAACATTTTTGAGTTAATGATACACGTCTTCTAAAGCTAAAGCAATCTCAATTTAGTCCCTCGCACTCCATTTCAATAAAGCTCCTAGAGTTTCAAACTGTTCAGAATGCAGCCCAAACCTAGCAATTCATCATATCAGACAAATAAATTACATGGCACAGGCGAACCATTAAACAAGAACAAATCACTAAAATGCTAATAATTCTAATCCAACCAACACCGAATTGTCAGATTAGAGCTCCAGTTTTTTGTTCCTCCAAAACTGGAACAATATAGATAAAATCCCCTTTCAAACCAACGCACAATAGTTGAAACCTCAATTTACGTCAAAAGGCTTCACAATTTTTTCTGGCAAAGTGGTTGGAATGAAGTTGAATCAAGACTTGCTGAAGTGAAGTTTAGAGGCAGAAAAATTTCGTGCAAGGAGGAAAAATGAGGCAGTGTGAAGGTGAGGTGGGAACTGAAGAGGGATGGGACGACATTATCACAACTGTATACAAATTGAGAAGAAAGAAAGGTCCCAACCAACCTTTTTAAACACAACCAGTTTAGGAATCAACAAACTACATAAGGAAATAAGATCTAGTTGTCTTGAATTGCAAAAAAAACAAAAAACAATAAATAAATAAATAAAACACTAGTTAATTTAATTATATTTGTGCCTCAAATGGACTTTTAAACAGCATCAAGATCAGCTTAGGAAAGTATAGTTATCCGCCAGGAGAGAGAGATTGAACAAAAAGCTGGTGAGTAAAAATCTCATTAATATTTCAATGAAACAATTCTTTTTAATCACCGTGGGTGTCCAGACCAGTTTACGCGCACCTCGACTAATCTCACGAGGCCCTGAAGTTTACAGTCTATTGACCATTAAAGAGTAAACCCAAAGCCTGACCACCTCATTAATATTTGAATGAAACTAGCCCTAAGAAATTTTTACTCACTCCTAAAAAGCTAGTTTTAGACCTAAATGTCAATATTCGAATATTTATTGGAAGAACCCAGTGTAACCTCAAATGGAACATGATCTGACTCTCTGTTCTTTATGTGCATGTAGGGAAAGACGAGCAGAGGAGCCAATTACCCTAACATTGTGGTTTTAGCCAAACATAATCTGTCTCTCCTCTCTCTAAGGATGATGTCCAAAGAAGTTTGTTTCATGTATCTAACTTAGAAATAGTTCTGGTGACAATATTTGAAATTGAAATCTAGACGAGTCAAATACTTTGTATTCCAATATAGGCATGTAAGTTTAACTTTTCCCAACATTAAATGGTTGGTAAACTCACACTGACTGGATTTTTAACTGTCCATATGCTTGCAGTGGAAAGTAAGATCATTTATAAATGTGTATCTACGTAAACATAAATCCAACTTCCCATTCATTTTACCTTCTAAACCTATATTCCAGGTTCATAAATCAAAAGTGCACAGACACAATTATGTTTATCTATGCCTATATACATATAAATCTATATGTTACCTGTTTGTGTAATTGATACTACCTTTGTGAGTCCTGTTCTGTCCTGACTACCATATTACAATGAAATAAAAGCATTTCTTCACCAAGGCCACAACCCACACCATACAGAAGGAATAGAGGAAACTGACCCAAAAAGAAAAAGAGGGATAATAATTCTTTTCTAAAGAGGAGAAACTATTGAAATGGTCAAAGAAGCAAACAATATTTCTAATTTAAATTCATATTCTAACATTGATAATTGTTTCAAGTACTTGCAAGTAAAGTGATAATGTTTTTATTACCTGAATTGGAGAAATAGGTCTCTCAAGCTCGTTGAGAGATGATCGCTGCTCAAAGGTTTGACAACGTCCATCAATAAATGATCCCGAAGCAGATCCCGGCTCAAAAAACTCCCTTAAAACCAATCCTGTATTGCTGGGGCATTGAGCACTCCTCGAAGACGAAGTCTGCAATAAAGTAATCTCAACTCCAGAGCCAACTAGTGAACTGCCATGACAATCCTGCGTAGGATCAGATTTTTCTGAAACAAGCTGCGCAGCATTTCCATATTCATTAGTTGTCTTGGTACCATTAGAATAATTATGCATGTCACCGCCAACAGATGGAGAGCATCCTCCAGATTGATTCTCAGATAGGTCATAAATTAATCTCTCAATATGTGCTCTCTTGATGGAAGCTTCACCAGGGGGAAACCAATCTGCCGTAAGCTGAAAGATAAATTATGTCACTTGCACATAAAGATTCATGACACGTGCTTTAGTTTGTAGAAGAAACCTTAAGTAGAGAAGGTTTTCAAATTTCTAGCAATAATCAGAATGCAGATTACACCCCTACCAAGAAAACATTAACATGGATAAGACAACACCCATGATTAATAATATTAATTTTGTTTGTTTGGTAATTTATAGAGTAAAAATAATAATATAGGACTTATTGCACCAGTTTTGTTAATTCTTTCCAGTGTAAAGTGAAAAAGTTATACCTTCCCTAGAGGAAATACCTCACAGCTCTTTCACTTGCAAAAAACTATTTTAGTTTTTTCTGTTACACCAAACTATAAACTATACATTCAGAAACGGCAGATACGTATGTTCTTCTATTTTCAATTGAAATCATGGATCATTTGGTAATTTGATGGCTAAAAAGGCCTGATTTTGAGAAAACGGCGATAGCTTTATGGATACAAGAGGTGAATTGCTTTGTTGTTGATAAGAAGGCACACAAATTTTTTAATAAATGGTTGAAAGCCCAATTGTTTATCGAACGGTTAAACAGCTCAAAAGTTTTAGAGGGTAAAAGCACAATGGTTTAATCAAATGGGAAACAAGAATTTTAATAAGAAAAAAATGTGTCTTGCTGTTCAAAAAGAAAAAGCTAGGGTTTGTCAAGTAAAAATAAAAGAAAGATGGAGTTTCAGATTTGTTTTCTTGGGCCTACACTGATGACAGATCCCATGACATCCAACACCTTTTGCCAGATTTGCTGCCAACTCAAGAAGCTGATGAAACAAAGCCGGGGTTTGAGAAATGGAGAATGAAGATAAACTAGGTTAGTTCTCCCTTTTTACAATTACTTTTAAAGGGCCACGTCGTGTCGGCGCCATGTCCAGGACATGTCTGCAGGCAGAGAGGAAAAAATATGGACAAGACACCTTGAGTATCTTAAACATATCAGTGTCCAATGCGACATCGGACACCGACTCACTGACGCCGAAAGCATCACTGCTTCCCAGACCCCTAAATAGTATGTTAAAGAAAGACGAGGTTACTTAAGTCTCAAGACAATGAAAAATGGTGAGACCATGTGATATAACATAGCCTCTTAAATGCTTACTGTCCAATACTATTGATGAACTTATTGCATAATGAATGGATTTATATGCTCCATTCATTCATTAAATTTACACATAAACTTATCTTGGAATATTTCCGTGTGATCTTTCTATAATAACCAGCTAAACTAATAAAACTGCAAATCCATGAAGGATTTGTTGATTTCAAGCAACTGCTAAATGAATTGTTTAGAAACTGCGAAAGTTCATGCCTTAGAGGCATGCCTCACGTGCCTTGAGTACCATTTGTCAAGGCATACACCTTGACTTACTGAATTGCACACCTTGGGGCATAAGCATAGAAGCGGTTGAAGTGTGCACTCAATTGTCATTGCTCTTTCTAGGATTTTTACTGCTTATTCAACTTTTGGACTTTATTTTTCCATATCATAGAACTCCTTAAGAGTTTTTGGCTATCATAGACACAATCTCAACCCTTAAACTAGAAAAAAAAAAAAAGAGTAGGCGTGCTCTAGCACACTGCAATGAAATGCAATAACCCCTCAAAATGAGATTGCGGTTCTTCAGAGGCACGCAAACAGTGAGAGGACAGCGAACTTTTCTCTACTAGTCTTGTATAGTCGGACAGATGTTTCATTGTATTGAACTTTTAGTTCTAGTGGAGAATTATTGGTCTTTGATAATTTATGATTTTCCAATTTGGTTATTCTATTTCATATTTTGAGTTGCAAGATAGAATTCAAATTTGTTGAGATGTTTTACACCACTAGGTGAGGTGCTAATTAGAACTCTTAAAGAACCACAAAGCAAGTGGGGGACGTTTGGTGCGCCATATTAGACTGGATAAGGATTAACTCAGTACTATCCGGTGTTTCATGCAAGTAATACTCGAATTAAAAATTAATCTAGGAAACTTGTTCTTCTTTAGTCAAATAAATTAAAATAATGTGCTCCATGAGATTGGTTTAGACCAGATAATTCATTTGCTTTACACAAATAATAATAATAATAGGCAAAAAGGTTTTTTTTTTGAAACACGTAAATTTACTTCTAAGTAAATTAGTTTATATATAAGTGCATTTTTTTTATATATAAGTGAATTTTCTCCTTACAAGAAAATTTAAGTAAAAATATATTTTTAAATAAAAGTTTTTTTTATTGAAACAAGTAAATTTACTTCTTAAGTTAATAAGATTATATAAAAGTGAATTTTTTATTTACAAGAAAATTGAAGTAAAAAAAAATATTTTTTTACAAGCAATTCTTTTATCAATAAGTAGGAATTTTACTTGCAAGCAAATTCACTTAGGTATTTAAGTAAGTTAAAAATATTATATGATTATATCTATTTTTATTAATTATTAAAGTTTAAAATAAGTAACATAAAAGTTAATTTAAGATAAAAAAAAATTACAAAAAGTAATCCAAACATATTTGTAGATAAATCAGTAAATATATTTTCAAGATGATAAAAAAATATTATATGATTATATCTATTTTTATTAATTATTAAAGTTTAAAATAAGTAACATAAAAGTTAATTTAAGATAAAAAAAAATTACAAAAAGTAATCCAAACATATTTGTAGATAAATAAGTAAATATATTTTCAAGATGATAATTTATAAAATCAACAACTTTTTATGTATCAAAGTAAAATAACTAAGTTACCTATTTTGATACAAACGCAATAATTAAGTGTAAATACAGCAATTTTCTTAAAAATAAGAGAAAGAAAGTCATCCATATATATTTGTAACTTCAATATTTTTTTTAAGCTTAGACATGTATATTGTCATAAATTTCTTATTTTTAAATAATTGCATGTTATTTTAATACGGTGTAGCACCAAATGTCATAATAGAACAATATACTCAATCCACCTTACAATAAAATCTCCCTAATCCTCTCTCTTCTAATCCTATTCTCGTATTCCAATGACAAAACACACCCTTAAGGATTAAGAACTGACCAAGGAAGTATGAAATGGCACCTACTGGAAGCTTATTTACCAATTTGTTTATATCCCCAGTTATTACTCAATCACTTCTTTTCTGTCCTCACATAAACCATGATCTAATACCTTTTGGCACATATTATTCCTATGGAGTCAAGCCTATTAGCTCTTGTTCACACTTATTTTCCTACCTTACACTAGCTTAAATAATAACATTTTCCTAGTGACCTTGATAGAAGCCTATTTAAGCTAGTTCAACCCTAATGTAACACATGACACTCCATAAGTAGTGAACTTTTCATTAGTGGAAAACTCTAGATGAGTTTGTCACTGTAACTGAAAGCTAATTGACCTACTCTACTTATATCTAGATTTGTCCCAATTCAAGCAAAAGACACACACACACACACACACACACACACACACACACACACACATATCAATTTGACACCTATCCAACTTAGAACACAAATGCATATAAAACTACAGTGATAATTAGTTAATGTCATCTAACACATCGGCATCATTGGCCAGTTGAGCATGTGAAGAACTTGGGTGTCACATAAGTATGGTAAAATTGGGAGGAAACAAAATGCTTGAGGTTGATCCTACTTTATATAACCCATTTTATCAATTTATAAATGCATTTTTCAACAATCATAGTCCAATAAAGTTGAACTTATAGAAAAAAATGTGAAGCTCGCATCTCTATTTAAAATCAAGCAATGTACTTACAAAGTTGCTCGATGACGTTATCTTATGTATGTTGAAGTCAGAGGGAACTTCCTCGAGAAAAAGCTCTACATAGTGAAGCAAGAAGAGGCCACAATCGTATGAGTTTTGCTGCTGAGGTAGCTGCACAAACGCACGCTGAAGTTAGGTCAAAGTACTTGCCTGTAACACGGACACACACCAATGCCAAAAACAGAAATATGCTGTAACTTCATTTACAAGTATCAACACAACCAACCAGAAACTGAAAGTTAATGGAAAATCTTCAATTTGAATATATCAGCTGGAGAATATACAAATTGACCAAATATAAAAATAATAGACTCGTACAAGTTTCATGAATATGAAATTGTTACAATGTACCCTTCTCACAAAAATGGAACATTTTCCACTATTTCAAATAATCTAATTTCTGGTATTTATGGAGAAAACTAAGGTGCCAAGTGTGTGTATGAAGTATGGCTTGAGGACCTGGGTTGACAAGACAAGTAGACAACATACAAAAAGGAAAAGAAATAACACAAAAATCCCAGGACTTGGTACACAAAACCTGTCACGCCATGGGGTTTTCAAATTTAAATTTCCCCTCCACACTGTTGAAGATTTGAAGCAGCTAAAATGGGCTCCGCTAATGCAACCACATCTTTACGAATTTATCAAGATACAAATCCCAATGTCATTGAGCTGAGACAGCATTCTATAATCCTCCTCTCTCTGATATATGGGTGCTTAATAAATATTCCCACATTAAGGCATGTCTGATTGAGAGGGATGGGGGCAAGTTTAAGAAATGGTGTGAGCTGAGTTAGTCATTTTGTACTCCGCTGTTTCAATTTTCTGCCATTTTTTCAACTGAAGCTGGGGTTATAAGTAAAAGCCTTTAGCCTTCCACTGAACAAACTAGATGCTATCCAAACATTTTTAGGGATGCTAAAGAATGTCAATTTAACGGATATTAGAATTAAGTGTCCAAAAAATAAGATACTAATCTTTATTGGTGCACAGATATATACCATAAATAAACAAAGACCAAAATAGTACCTCAAGTGAAATGAATTTTAAGTTTCTAAATTTTGAGTACAAATCTTCATGTGTTTCCATCTGCCTTTCTTTCCACTCCTCCCATAGATAACTGTCATTTCAAGTTATTGATTGACGGGTAAGACATCAAATTCAATACAAACCTTTCTATATTTTTAAGAAAAGGAAAATCTAAAGAAACAAATGATAAAATACGAAGTGACCAACACTTGAAGCTTATACAGAAAGTGTCAAGTGTTCCAATCTGATCTACGGCCACATCCATTTTAACTTATTACGAGTCATTAACTGAAGAGTTCTCATGGATCATGAATAAGTGTTTGGTGCTTATAGTAATTCGTGAGTCATATACAAGTGGGTACAGTTTTTCAAAACTAGTATTTTTCAGGTGGACTCCTTAGTACCACGGACTTATCAAATGGAGTTTCATTTATAAGTTGTCAGGATAGAAGGAAACCCACCCTGCCACAAAACGAAAAATAAAAAGAAAAAACAACTACAGCACCCTCACTTGGCATAGAGACCAACTTGGTTTATACTCTTACGATTCAAAATTTTTCCTCCATTCTCACTTGAATCAACTCATACAAACTGCCTGGATCCCACTACTCTTATACACACACTTTACAAAAGTACCTCTATTACCTTTGCATAAGATCTTTGAGGCCAGCATGACTTCCTTTTATAGAATCCATATGCAATATGCATGGTACTCTGGCTAATTTATTTGCATCAACATCTAAATATGGGGAAAAAAGAACAAAATGTTGGAGAATAGAAAAACTTATTTGCAAAAAAATAACATGCATTTTGGATATAACTTGCCTTCGTAATCAACCACTTTGCCAAAATAGCATACTACTATAAGACTCCAGTGGTAACTGTCACAACAAGCATTGAAAGGAACTTATTAGAAATCACAACCCATTACATGATACCAGAACCCAGTGCAACGGAGTCCTTTTGTTTGGGGGGGGGGGGGATCTTAAATTAATGTTGTTATTTAACTTCTCACTTGTAATTTACAGGTATGACAATGAAGTCCTTTTCTAGCAAGTTCACTTTTCTAGTCCATTTCCGAACACGCAGGAAAGCAGCCTTGCCATCAAAGGCACTAGATGGGTCTTTGTCCATGTCTGCCAGCTTTCGAAAGAAGAAGCTGTTGAAAAAGTGAAACCTAAGCCTCTCATCGGGGTTTTGTTTGTTTTTCAAATATCTGTCACAAGATCAAAGTTTCATAAAAACCAAGCAAGAAAAAGGGAATAATAGCAAAACACAACCAACAATACGCTAAGAAACTGCGTGTAAGACAACATAGTTTGGAACTATTAGCCCAAATTTCCAACATCTCACTCCCCCTCCCAAAAAAAGGTAAACAAAGACTGTTCATACACCACCCATTATTTGGAGGCAAAAGGAATTTAATGAAACAAACAGCAAATGTCAAATACAACTTCTTTCAGTGGTTTCTACCTATCCCTCTTAACTCTTAATAAGTGGCAATAACCAAATATGACTTACGACAATTTCAATTCTTTACTGATAAGCGGAAGCATAGAGGGGACCTAGTCTTCTTGTAAGTTACCTGCCTGAATAAAGCCAGTATTATATGAGCAGATTAACTTACTGGATGTAGAAGTCTATGACTGTATCATTGAGAAATGTATCTGGCCGTAGTAGATCGACGTCCCTTGTGCTAATGGAAACCGCGTCAGGTTCACCTTTTGGATAAATAACTTCTTCAAAGGACTCATGAAAACTACAAAATATGAAACTAGCTCAGTCTGTATAGTTGAACGAGGAAATTAATTCTGTTTGCACATTCTCCTACACACACGCACTCACACATATATGTATATCACTGTTCAAGTATTCAGTAAAGTTCATTGGCTAAAAATCTTTCTATCTGTGATTGCTCAACTGTTCTGACATCTGAGGCCTTTCTATTTCTGCTCCTCTGCAAACTTCAGTAAAATTCCAATTCCAGCAGCCATAATTTGTATTGGATCTTGATATTCCATCTTAAATTATCAGTCTTATTAAGAGGAGTAACCCAAAGCCTCATATAGCTATTATTTCATATTTAGCCAATGAGAGACCTACCCTTAACATGCTCCACAAGATGGTGGCACAATTGTGAGCACCAATACACAACCTGACAGCTCGTTTGAGCTGTGGAGAGGCGGGGTTACTCGTTTAAACTTAATGGACTCTGATACTGTATTGGATCTTGGGATTTCATTCTAAAAGGTAACTCTATTTGAAAGAGTAACCCAAGACCTTATATGTTTGCTATTATTTTTATATTTAGCCAATGTAGAATTTACCATTAACAATTTTTTATAAACAAAAAATGTTTTACCATAATGAAAGTGAAAAAATACGGAAGGTAGCTATAATAAGCCCAAATGCACAAGTGCCCCCTAAATTTTTTAGAGGCAGCTCAGCTGGGAACAGGATATAATAGTTGAACTGAATGGATCATCTTCAAAATCGCCCTCAAGTAAAAATATTTATTTTAGAAGCCTTCTCAAGAGAATTTTTAATATTAAAAGCAAGTAGAAATTTAATTGTTGAAATTAAAGGATGTGAAGTGGTGGCAGTCACTATAGAAGTTAGCAAAAATGTCACAAAGGCAATCCTAAGGATCTTTGCAGAAGTTCACCACCACCAATAATGTCATGAAAAAGAAAACATCATCATCTTTGTTCCATTCTTAAACATACTAACATAAGCAATATCATTTAGATAGGACAAGTATTTCTTTTGGTTTTGGAGGGCATAGTTTCAATAGTTAACTTACTTAGAGCAGTCTACTAGAACTGGTTATCATTATGGATACAGTTGTTTGTTGTCATCACATTCCTTTCTACAAAAATCTTTTATCCTTTTTCATTTCCATTTTCATGCCGCAAACTTGTTTTTACCTTTCTCTTTTTCCTTTCTTCCCTCTCTTATAGTTTATTTATTTTGATGGAGGTGGCTTTGCAGGTTAAAGAATCCCACTTACTAACAAAAAGAACGTACCCCTCTTGGTCCCTGTCTCCATAAAGTATGTCAATTGCTAAAAATAATAGCGCAATTGCATTTAAATTACAGAGATGCCAATTCATTAATTGATGTGAGAGAGTAAGAAACAATGATGACAACACGTTAAAACTCACTTCAGAATAAGTATTATGAGTTGAACAGTGTTTTTAGATTAAACATAATGTTGGCAAAGTGTGGAATATAAAGTGCATCCTTTCATTGATTTTGCCTAGTGTGACAAATAAAGAGGAGATCAAGGGAGTAAAATTCCAAGGGGCCTAGTACAGCTGGTAGACGAACTAGAAGTACATGCCAGAAGAAATAATTAAATTTTTAAAAATAGTTCAAGGCACTCGTTCACTCACTTGGGGAAATAGCTTCTTGACTGCTGCATGGCTTTCCCTTCAAGTGTGGCTTCTGTGCAATCTTCTATTTCAATACTTAGGACAAAGAAAACAAAGACCAGTTACAGCATCACAATTCATACAAATTACATTTTCTTCTAATAAAGATCTCAAGAACTACACATAGGTATATATAATTATCTTCCAGAGTTATCAAAGTAAAAGACAAGAAGTCGGTCAAACCAAACTAAAATATGAAAGGTCTCAACATAATAACTTGTTAGAGACCAATTATTGTTTATATAAAATTGGAGATGCTCTACAATATACTTAACTTTGATGACATACATCCACAAAATCAAGAGTCAGTGGAGCAGTATGAGTAACTCGGTGGTTGGCATAATACTTTTACAATATACACATTTTTTCAAGCAGTATTAACTGGGACATTCTTTGAGAATGCAAATGAGATGGGAAAGAAAAGAATTAAGAGATGTGATACAGAAAGTTTCTTCAAGGAGACGATTATTTGGTTACATATTCAATATGGATATGTTCATCTCGGAATGGTTTTGTATAACTACCAGGAAAAATATTTGAGAAAGGTAAAACGCTGGAAGTTGAACATAATTTTCCATTATATGTTTGACTGAAGAAGATTAAAAGGAGAAATTCAGCAGTTTTCAAGAAAAATTGGTTGTTAAAAGGTTCCATGGAAGACTTCCATGTATTTCGCAGCACAACAAATAATGCTATCATAAAACGTATTTCCTAGATTTTTATGCTGCCAATAACAAATGTGCAAAATAAAAATGTCCATTCACAACACAGTTTAACAAGTTTGTACCCGTGTATCACAACACAACAAACATTTTTCCACACCAACTTTTGTTTTTATTTTTCTTTTTCTATTCAAGTTTATACTCCAACACCTGAATATCCACATTCCTAATAAATATAGTTTAAAAGGTAGGCAGCAGGTTCATATCTTAGAAAGGAACCACATCAATACTACTAATGGAAATTTCATCAATACGTCATAGTTTAATCTTTAGATTTAATTCACAATATTAGGAAGGTCTTTTGTTGGATATGATACACCAAGATGAACTGCACAAACTGTTCAGTAATTAGTACTCCATAAAATTCATAACCACAACACAGGATAGATAGATAGAGTGGGATATTACTGATGGCACGAACTATTCAGTAATTAATACTCCATAAAACACAAAACCACAACACTTGATAGATGGATAGAGGGGTATATTTCTGATGGCTAGTATGTGAAAAGGTGAAGGTTGGACCCAATACAGACAGTAATAGAAAACCTTGTTCGTCATAGGAAACCACTCAGAAGATCTTCAACTTTTACCCAAATAAGGCACCCGAAAAGTACAAACGGTGCAAAAATGAACAAACAATATAATCACAGGACACAATAAAGAAAGATGTGTGATAGTCTTCTGCATATAGCAACAAGAAATTGATGTTAAGTCAGCATAGACTTAACTGACCTGAAGTATTGTCAACAGTCTTGTCTCCTACTGCGCTGTTTGAGACGAAGTGGACACTTGTGAAGCCCAACTCATACTGAATAAATGTTATACGTCATACAATTAATTTTAGTTTCATTTATATAAAAACACTGGAAAACATACATGCAGAATAAGAGAAAAAAGAAACTCACACGAGCTGACCACTGAGACTCTATTTTGATGATATCCTCAATTTCCAACAGAATATGAAAAGTCCCTGTATTCCCATTGATAGTGTTGCTTTTAACTATTACAGAACTTCTCGAAAATGTCACCGTAGAATCCACATAATGTACACCACGATAATTGATATAATCAGCATAGAAAACAATTTCAATTCCGCCATCATCCTGCCAATTGAAAAGCAAAGAACACAGTTAAATAGCAAGCACTGTGTGCATGGCATATTTTTATCGGTGTTTGAACAGTTCAGTTAACACCGAGCACTTTTATATTTTTATCTAGCAAAGTCATGGACGTTTGAATGAATGATATCTCAATGTCATTTAACTCTCTTATGAGATGTGAAGCTTGTACAGCATCACCAGAAAACAATAGTGCAAGGAAGCAGCAACTTCCAAAGAAGAAATATTTTCATGGTTCAACCATTTCTTGACCCAAGCATTTTCTTATTTGGCAAATAAAATTTGGATTGGTACAAACTGAAACCCCGTAACTTAAGCTACTTCATGTCAATCAATACAGTGAGAACCTATTCGAAATCAGGATGCACAACAAGCAATTTCCCCCAGATGGCAGGAGAGACAGAGAGAAGAGAGTTGAACAGGTTATAATTATCATGTAGTTTTTAGTTTTTATATATTAGGATTTTTATTTATAGCATTTTCCTAATTCTAGGACGCCTAGTCACTTGAGAATCCCAGTTCTAGAATTACAACTCATTTAGTTAATTCCCAATCCAAGTCAATATAAAAAACTATATTTCATTGAGTGGTTCATTAAGATGAAGGTGGCATAGAAAGTTAAAGCATCAATCTATAATTTAGTTTAAATATTTATTTGGTATCACGTTCTGACGCCAAACTGAGACAGAAAAATGTCATTTCTTAACACCATCAATTGCTATTTGGAAACAAATTTTGAGAATTAAATGTAACTAATGGCTGTATATTTAGCTAAATGGCAACCTTATGAACCACTGGTACTGTTTGGCGCACAGTTGAATATGTGGTCCTAAACAGCACGTCAGTTTTAAACTGAGATGTCAACTGGGATTAAGACATCCTAGAATGGTCAGTCTAGGTTAGGCTTAACTAATTTTAAGACAGTTTCTGGGGTACATCTATTATCACTAGTCTTCATAACCATCCGAGGCATTTTGATTATATTCCAAAGAGAGAGAAAAGGAAAGGAGAATGAGTTATTATTACCGCTTCGACATGAATAATCACAACGGAAAAAATTAAAATAGCAAAGTCACTTACCATATTACAGCCACTGAATAAGTTAGCAGACGATGGTCCATTGGAAGAAGCTGAAACGATGATATTCTCATCGTAAGAACATTGTGTAACAAACTATGTAATTCCAGATTACCAGAAATCCCCGTCCCAGTTCCCCAAACCAAGAAAAATAAATAAGAGCGAGAAAGAACAGAACATCAGAAAAACAAACCATCATCATCTGCAATAACAGAAGAAGGAGATTGTTTGATCATGCTTTCGTCAACATCTGACACCATACTGATTGTCTCGTCCTGCATGCATTCCAAAAGAGATAAGCAAGCCTTAAGAAGCACTTCCCTAAAAAGGTCTCAATATCAAGATTACAATACATTGCATGAAGACTTCAGAAAGTCACAATTTCCATGGTCCTTCCCATATGAAGCGGCTTCAGGACTAGAACTGCATTTCATACTGGGAAAGACGCTTCCAGATTTAAGCTTATCGAGTCTAATATCAGCAGTTTGTTCTTGACTTCTTGAGTTAATGAGCCAATCATCATCAAATCCCGACATATTTTTGTTAGCACAATCCTTGGTATCCAGAGGAGACAGAAAACTAGCAGTATTACAATTATGATCAGTTTCAGCAGCCCCAACATCTGAGCTCAGTACCTTCCCAATCTCATTTGATTGATTTTCAGTTTCCCGGGCAACTAGAAAGAGTAACATACAAAAAAATATATCATAAAATGCAAAAGACAAGCTAAGTAAAGAAAGCAGTTCAGTTTGAACAAAACTGATGAAGCTGCTCAAATCGGTGATAATTAAAAAAAAAGGCATAATATTTCATTAATCTAAAATTTAATATAATGAACACGAGAAATTCCATTAATCTTGAAATATTTTCACTACTGTCATATAAATCACCATCCCAATTATTAGATGGTGTTGTATTCCAAATGATAAAATGAATAAACAAAAATCACTTCATTAAGTACCCAGCAAATCACTATTAGAAGTGTGACCTCAATGATGGTTCATATCATTGGGGCAAAAACCCTCGCCTCAGATTTTGAAAAGAACAGAGTGGACGCTATAGTTCTTCCAACGTGACTATTTAACAGGAATGTAGATCATATTGTTATTTCAACAAAAAACTATTTCGTGAATCCAACGCCGGGAAGATTCCTTACCGGAAGATTGATCGAGTGGCTCGAAACCCATGTCAGAAATCATCTTCAACAACTCATCCACCAAAATTTTCCTCCTCTTTTTCAGCAAACTTCAAGACTGAAAAATCGAGTTCACAAAACAGAAGCAGTTCACCGGTGGCCTGAAAATCGAACTCTTTTTCTACCGTGTCGAGGGGTCAAAGCTCCGTCGAAGTTGAGAATTGAGACTGTATATATGGAATCGCGACGATTGAGCTTCCGAAAAGTCCTCGCCTAGAGCTCTAAACTCGATTTTGTTCTAGGGTTGGGGAGGAAGCTCAATTTATTAATGATCAATTTTTTTCAACTCGCCCTTTTGTTACCTTCTCGTATTTAAAAATCCAGGTCGAGAGGCAAATACTTGTCAAAACTTTATTAAAAATATTATTTCATCCTACTTATGATTGGTCATATCAGTGTTTAAAAAATTGGATTGGAGCTTTCACTTAAAAATGTCTTGTCAAAACAAAAATTTAGCCTTGTTTGAGCTCCAATTTTACGAAAAAAAATATATTTTTTTAATAATGTATTAATATAAAATGTGTAGTTAAAAAAAATTTAAATTTGTATATAATTTTATTTTATTGAAAAATGTGTGATTGAAATGATTTCAAAAAACTATTTAGAAATACGTTTTCCTAAAGAATGGAACTCAAATAAGGGCTTATTTCTAAAATCTAATAATTATCTTTTTTAGTTATATAGCCTAAAAAATACAAAGAAAAGGAAAATACAATTTGTAAATTACAAAAATATCCTTGTATGTAAAAATACATAACTCCTATTTGGTGGGAATTAAAATTAGATTTTTAGTAAATTTTGATAAAAGTTTTATAAATGTATGGTTGAAAAGTTGTAAGACCCATAAAATATGTTTTTAAAATTAATTGTTTGACTTTAATTTAAATTAAAATATGATTTAAATCGGTATCAAACAGGGCTATAATGCCTTAATTCCCCTTTCAAATTTCATGTAGCCCTATTCAATTTTGGCTTTTCTTCTTTTGCAGTTAGACCGACATTTCTATACAATATTTTCCTTTCTTATCATCATCTTCTCTCCTTCATGAAATCTTAAAATTTACCATTGTCCTTCCCTTGAATACTCATTTTGTTAAACTGAGTAATCAAAGCCTACAACATTCTTGTTGGGCCTTTGGAGAAAAAGAGATGGTAACATTAAATTTCAATTTTGAGCTACTTTCTTTTTCAGTTTTTCTAAATCATTTATTCATGTTGTTTTGATTTGCATTTATGGTATTCATTTGTCAATAATGACTTTGAATTTATTTTATCATTGAATTAGAACTTTGATATGGATTGTTTTCAATATATTCTTATTACCCATTATTTTTTAAGTGAATGGTAAATACATGTTTTGATATTCTATTTGTTGTTTTACTATAAAAGTTATATTTAATTTTTTACTGTCAAGAACGACTTACGTATCATTTTCTACAACCCATAATGACATACATTTCATTATTAGTACTGTACAAAATTTGATACTAATGAACTTTTAAATTTTTATGTTAAATTGCAATTATGGACACCGTGGATATATTATTGATTCATTTTGTTATTAAGTTGAATATGAGCAGTTAATTGAAGGTGCTTGAAAATAAAAACATACAAAGAAAGGCAAAAGGAAAAAAATGCCTAATTTTGTTCAAAAAATAATTTCTTATTTGGATTTGTATGATAAAATCAAAGAAGTGTTGAATATTGATACAATGCTATACAAAATGGAAATGTCAGCTCCTGTCCACATGACATAGCTTTATCATTTTGTACTCATTGAAAGCACCTAATGATTTATTACATTTTATAGTTATTGTGCTATTTATCGTGTTGTATTGAGATGATCCTAAAATCACCATGTTCCTTATTTTACGTTATTGTTTTTGTGCTAATGAAACATCATTGAAGGTACTTTGCATTGATGCATTTTTTTATTATAGAGCAACGACTTTTATATCATATTATTTTTTTGGAATGACACAAATATCTACTTCCTTATATATTGTCCAACCTAGGTTTGGATTGGCCAGCTGGCGAATAGGCAAAAGCGTGTTCCACCCAAGAAAACGTGATATGATATTCCTATGTGTTTCATTCTTTTTGGGGGGGAAAAAAGAATCATTGCAGAAGAAAATTATAATGGTTGGGAACAAAAGGAACCCTATGATAGGTACAAATCAAGCCAGCTGAAGGAAGGGCGCGTTAGTGAACTTATTGAAAATTAAAACAAGAAGGGCACCTATCCTACATATTCGATCAAGGTTGTCACTGCCCAAGATTGGATTTGTTTGAAAACAACCAAGTGGAAGGAGCAAGCGATGGATAGAGGAAAGCTCAATATCTTACTATTGCAGACTGTTGATCTTATGGAATAGCCTGACCATGGGAAAGAGACTTTAATCGTCGATCATCCAAGTATGGGAATAGAACTCCAAGCCCTTCTCTATCAATTCCAACCACCCATGAAAAAATCATCTTATAATGAAACCAAGGAAGTGGGGAAGACGGGCAAGGATACGTGTTATTTGCAAAATGAGCTACGATCGTTTGAAAAACGAGTCGCCCGCCGAGTTGGTTAACCAAGGTTACAGGTCTCATGGTGTACCACTTAAGCAAAGCAAAGGCAAGGGAGTTGGGTTAAGACCCCGTAATATCTCAGATTGTAAATGTTCGCGAAATATTTCTTTCGATTTAAATTACCGCAAGTGTACGGGTCATGACAAGTAATAAAATGGACTTTAGAAGTCCGAGTATCGTCCCACAGAAAAAGAGTAGTTCAATTTTACTTATTTTAGCCTTAACCGAAACTAATTGAGTTAAAATGAATTTTGGAATCAAAAAAAACTAATTTTGGGAGAAATCCCCAATTGAAAAACCCTAATTACTTAAATTCACTTAACTAATGATTCAATTACGGAATGTTATGAAAAATAAATGAAATGTATTGTCAATTTATGAAAATCTATGTAAAACGAATGCACTAGGATCACGAATCCCTAAATAATTACCAATTAAACCCTAATTTCACAATTTTGATAATTCAATAAGAATTTGATAAATCAATGCTCCTAAATCTATTCAATACTCTCTCTCGAGATGTATTGAACATATTCTAATAAATCATCAGCCTATATCTCTATGACGGATACAATTTTACAAGAACGTATATAATCTTTTTGTGAGCAATTAAAGATTTACATAGGGTATAGGGGTATATTTCTATCCCCTATCGGACCCTATGATGAATTATATATGTCGAGTCTAATCTAATTTTCTCAAAGTCAGAATTAAACCATCAAGTTCACACAAATCAAGTGCACATTAATTGTGGAAATAAATAAACCAATATAATCCATTCAAATATCCATCAAACTAATAATTCAAAATCATGAAATAGCAAATTTAATAATAATTACATGGTTCATCGATCACCTAATTGCAAAAATCTAGCCTATCATGATAAAAATAACGAAAACTAACAAAATATGAATAAAATACATCACCGGGTTATCAAAGATTGAAGAAATCTCGTAAATCTCGCATCAATTCTTGTTCTTGCCTTCAATTCCACTCCAAGATGAATGTTTTTGCCTCCCAAGTTGTTCGTGCGGCTTTTGGACGTCTTGTTGCTATTTAAACCCGTCCAAAATAGGTTACCAAAAGAGTTGCAATCATATAAGGAAACTGCAAAATTCGGGAAAAATTATACCTATGCGACCGCATAGGCATAACCTGTGCGACCGCATAGGTTTAGGAAAAACGCCATTTTTCATCCCTGGAGGTTCACTCGCGGTCGCATAGGTTTTATACTATGCGACCGCATAGTAGAGCTACTTTCTTGTTTGAGTCATTTTGGTCCTCATGTTTCATTCATTCACTCCTTGACCTCCTCTCTTGTTCCTAGTTGCTCCAATGTTCCCTTATAACTTCCAATTGGTGCTTGGCTTGATCAATTGCTTGATGTGTTCATCGGGTCAACTTTCAAATAATTGCAATTTGGTCCCTGAATTTTCATTTTGCTCCAATTTGGTCCTTTTTCGGCTCTTTTCTCCTGAATTCCACTATTTCCATAGAATTTCCTACATTGCATGAATTTGATAAAGTTAAGTAACAATTCAATCATTTTACTTGTATTTAAGTCATGTTTGTGATGTAAATAAGTGTGCAAAAACACACTTATCAAACCCCCCAAACTTGAACTATTGTTTGTCCTCAAACAAGATAGTGATATAATTCTGAACAAACATGGCTTAACACCTTGCCTTGGCTCAGGATTGGACTAAGTAATTGATTTTATGAAAATTTATCAGTGCAAGATGACATCAACCTTCACCTGTTAAGTGCATACTTGACGTGTGTCTGTGTGGATTCATGCTAACATATCAAGTTCATGATGAGTTTGAGTCCCGACCCCAAGTGGTCAAATGTCTCCTTACTCGCTCGAGAGATACACATCCCCCCAAACTTATTCTTTTCACTCAATTATCCCGGGATTGTGTTTAAAAATTATGAGTTTACCTAGCTTTAGTTCTCACCCTCTCGTAGTTTGGATTAATTTCACTATCACAAGTTCACACATCAACAAGTGAAGGCTCTCCTAGTTTTGATTGCTTCGACACTCAAGACTAAACTAGGTTACTTGCCTCGCCTCAAAGGTATAGTTTCTTCCACCAATTGTCCAAGGGATTTTCTTCTTGTTATTGTCTCTTTTTGTTTTTCTCACTTTTCTCTGGGTTTTTTTTTATCATCTTCTCATTTGCTTTCTATATAACCCATGTAACGAGCTTTAGGCCTGTGACTCCCAAACCAGTTGGTTTTAGGGCACCAAGTTTTAGACCCTTGCAGGCTTATTCACTCGAGTTATAAAGGCTCGATCAGATGACTTTTTATAAACTTCTTTACTTCTTGCTTTCTATATGACCCATGTATCGAGCTTTAAGCCGGTGATTCCCAGATTAGTTGACCTTAGGGCACCAGATTTTGAAATATCCTTGCAGGCTTACTTGCTCGAGTCATAAAGGCTGAAAAAAAAGTGTCTTATTCTCACAAATTAAGTTCATGCCCTTATTTTTCTAGACATCTGGTATCCAAGAATAACCCTCAATTTAAGATTTTCACCTACTCTGCATCCCATTGGTTTAGGCAATCCACACAATAATTCATGCACGGAGCCTCACTCATTTCAATGTTCTCCTATAATAGCTCAACTATCACCAAACTGTCTTAAGATATTTTACGGGTTCATTCAATAGAGGGTTATAACTATCTCTCTATTTTATACTCAAAACCCCAATCACTTACCTAACATATCAAGCATGAATGACGTG